TCGTCTAACCGCTTTTTCCTTCTGTACAGTACACCACAACGTATCATCCCACGTTACTTAATTACCTTATTACCTTAGGCTGCCCTTCAAGTTTAGCAATATATTAACTACGTTAATTTTACAAAATTCATGTAAACCAAAAATGCAATGACGCAGACTATTACATACACATATATACATATATATATATGTATATATATATATATATACATATATATATGTATATATATATATATACGAGTTATTGGTATGCCTTCGACTGGTGGTACATTTATGAGGAAAAAACTGTTCAGGCAATATTCCAAAAGCTGGTTGTCTTATACAGCTATGTTCGTTAGATCTCAGGGCTATGGCGAGCAGCTCAGATCCAGAGAGTTGATATAGCAGCAGGTGAATTTAATCCAGCAAATCCAAAGCTGCGGTTCATTGCTGGTGGTGCGGTTCATTTTTTTATGATGCGTTTTGTGCTGCGTAATAGCAGTACAGAACGCATATTATCACGATGTTGTCTGTATATGTTTGTGTGCGTGTGTGTGTGTCCCACATTTTGTACCGCACTTTCAACTCGGGAACCACGAAAACTAGGCGACTGAAATTTTAGTATAGTGTTCCCCGCCAGCGGATGACGCGGAAAATTTAAATTCGGCCTTCCCGTACCCGCGGGTAACGCTTACGGCTCCGTAAAAGTTTTTCGGGTAAAATCAGTATCTCGGGAACCACGGAAGGTAGAAGGTTGAAATTTTGTGAGCATGTCCCTGCCCACGTCCTAACTAGAAAATTTAAATTCAGCTTTCACCTGCCCGCGGGTAACAGGTGCGGCCCCGTGAAAATTATTGTTGCTGAAAAATTTTTTTTTCTCGGATATCACCTGCGGGCTGGTGAAAGTTTTTACGGGTGAATTATTATCTCGGGATCCACGGGGTCTAGGAAGCTGAAATTTTAGGGTAATGATCCCCTGCCCACGCTCAACCTTGCCTATTCAAATTCAGCTTTACCGCGCTCTCGGGTGTCACCTACGGCCTCGTGAAAATTTTGGCGGGTAAACTATTGAAAAATCTATTAACTGGGGAATCGTGGAAAAATATTCGCCCTTCAGTGTTCCGAATTCTGCTTTCTTGCGCATGTGTGTCAAATTTCTAAATATTTTTCAATGTTTCAACCATTTTTGCATAGACTAAATTACAACGCTATCATTAGTAGGCAATCGTTCGATGGACTGAATTGCACAAAACACATGATAGCACCGACCAGCCTGGTGCGCGTTGCTATTTATTCATCTCAAGGCAGGGCTGAAGTTTTGGGAACTTAATCTACATGCACGTTGGGGCTACAATCCCCAAACAGGCGCTCTTGCCCGCGTGATACCCACATAGGGGCCACTCATTGTTTTTGGCAGGGAGGCTGCTAACTCGGGAGTCAGAAAAGTTAGAAAGCTGAAATTTTCAGGAGATGTTCCCCATCCATGTAGGTATTAATGAGTTCAAATCCAACCTTTGGGTATGCGCGGTTCCTATTTACGAACCTGTAAAAGTTTTTTGCGGGTAAGTTACTAATTTAGGAGCCAAAAAAGCTAGAAAGCTGGAATTTTAAAAAGATGCTTCCTGACAGTCCTCGCATCCAGTCTCAATTCAATTAGTTAGAAAAAATAGTGCCATTAGCAGCAAAAATCCGAGGAGAACTATGCAAAAAAAAAAAATCTGAGGAGAACTATGCAAGAACTATGCATCATCGCACCGGCATTCGGTGCTCTGGCCGTTTATTTCGTTAATATTAAGATGCTTTCGGGGCGTTTTGGTGAATCATAGTAGCCATTAAGCAATGAAATTCTGGATAGGTTTAAAGTGGATTTGAAAGTGGTTGCCCACTGTGATAAGTCCTTCTGAATTATTAGCACCGCAGTCTTTTTGCCATTGTTCAATTATTCATTGTGTGTGATTGGGCTGTATGCATCTCTGTCAATCCCGCCAAAGGAAAGAAGGCGAGAAACGAAAAAACGATAGCTGGGATCGCCAGTAGGTTGATCAACAGATGATGCGGCTATAAGCAAGCAAACGTGAAAGTTTCTAGTTGCTTTGAAAGTGCCAAAGTGAGTGTGATATTGAAGCATTCACCTTTTTTTTTCCACTGATTGATTTTACAGGAAATTTATGCTCAGCGTATGAAAAACGAATTCAACTGCCCTGTTGTTTTGGGCCCTCCGAGCGTTGCATACCGTGAAACACTTGCAAAACCGTACAAGTAAATCTTTTCGTTCTCACTTTATAAATTTATCTGGGCCATCATTAAATCGCAAAACTTTATTTCCCTTTTAACATCACTGTTTTAAGGTTTTATTATCGACACAAGAAGCAGACCGGAGGCCAGGGACAGTACGGTGAGATTGAAGGGATGTTGGAGCCATTGCCTCCTGCAAAGAATGCTGAAGTTGAATTCGTTGATGAAACCGTCGGCGGCAATATACCAAAGAATTTGATAGTTCCTTTGAAAAAAGCAAGCCTTTGGCCTATTGAATCGAAAATTTAGCAAGTTCAAATTTTGTCTTTAATGATCTGACAACTAATTTTTTTTACAGGGTTTTGATACAATGTTAAATGAGGGGCCACTAATTCATACGAGAGTTATGGGAATCAAATTGAGGCTTCAGGACGGCAGCACGCATGAAGTGGATTCAACTGATATCGCCATGATAAACACCATGCAAAACATGATGAGAGAAGGCTTGTTTTAACTAAAAAAATTAATTTCATTCTGCATATTTGAAGATTTTTATTTTTTTTTCGTAGGAAATATTTCAAAACTGTTTCATTTTTAGTATCCATATTCTCCAGACGGAAGTACCTTTATATTCC